TTTAAAAGTCACTAAGCAAACTAATTTACTGTGTTCTTTAACTTTTTACACGCATATGCGGATAGTGTAAACATAATTTATGAATACCTAAGATTAACCTAATCATTACGCTTGAATAACCCTTTTTTGGAAATAAAAACTTCGTAGAGAACTATGAATACATGGAACCCGTATTTTTTGTATACCTGCAAATTTGACCTTAATGCAACACTAATATGATAATTTACAGTGCAAAATATGCTGGTCGTAGTGATTGCGTTGTTTATAAGTCATAACGTTAGGATAAGTTATAAACTTTTAATGTTATATTATATTATGTATTTGCATAATGTTATAATATTTTATGGTTTCAAACTTTAGAATAATGTTTATTATTTATTATTAAATTATTTAACAATTCAGCATTTTAATCAATGATGTATATTTAAATTGTAAGAACATTGTGATGAATGTAATGATTTTATTGTGATGTGTTTTTAAAACTTTTTTATTTTTATTAAKTTTAAAATAGGTACATGAAATGTACTACAAAAATTATTTTATTTTAAACTATAGGGGTTGTTTCTAGTAGAAAATTAGGACTAGTTGGTCCTATGAAGGGTAAAAATAGAAAATTATCAGTAGTTTTCAAAAGTATAAAAAAACAAACAACCTTATACACCTTAWAATGTCACCAAATAACACGATTTTGACGATTTCATATACTAGATAACATTTAAAAAATATTTTGACTCTTTTTGAGTAATAATATAGACACCTTAAATATACAATTTTAAATTTTTTTATTCTATTAACGTCGATACACAATTTTTAYTTGGTCAAATTCTTTGAAAATTTTTAATTAGTTTCCTCATAACTTGTTTATTTGACGTTAGCAAAATCTAAATACAGTCACAATAATTTTATAAGTGTTTAAAGTTAGAAATTTGTCGAAAGTTGTAAAAATCATGAAAATTTGAAAACTATTTTAACATCTATGGATTGAAAGTTACAAATAAGGTTTCTCATTTGAAGTTAATACTGTAACTAAAAAATCAAAAAATATATAAACATATTTTTTTTAGATATTTTAAGTTCAAAGTTGGACATCAGATTGATATTTAAACCTTAWACATAGTCTTAATGCCTTTATAAACAAGTACTCGTGAAAAAATAATCTTTGTATCCCAATGGCCAATGTCACCGAGGTCCGTGACGGGTAAATTTTGTTAATAAAATAAAAAAGTTAAAACAAAAATT